ACTCTTGTGGGACACTCTTGTGGGACACTCTTGTGGGACACTCTTGTAGGAAACTCTTCTGGGACACTCTTGTAGGACACTCTTGTATACGCTCGCTGCCCCTGCCGCCGACCCTTTTGGTCGACCCCCGCCCGACCCCCGGTCGTGTGTGTGTGTGTGAGGTATAAAAAAACACTGTGATTTACAGGGTTTTGGGCCCCTCGGCGGCCGAGAATTTCATCTTGGCCATGTTAAAAAACGTCGGTTTTTCCATGGTTTTTGCTTTGTGGGAAGGAAAAAATCGTAAACAGTTGTATCGGAAGATTTTTTCAACATAAATTGCCTAACATATCCCCAACATAGGCCCAAGATAGCCAACATATCCCCAACATATGCCCAACATAGCCTCCAAGATGGCTCAGCATAGGGCCAACATAGGCCTAGCATAGGCCAACCTAGGCCCAACATAGGCTCAACTTGGGCCCAAGATGTGCCCAACATAGACCACACAACTTGGCCCAACCTAGGGCCAAGATGCGCACCAGATAGCTTAACTTTGCTCAATATAGGCGAGAGAGAGAGAGAGAGACAGGACCCAGCCCTACACAGACCCAAGTGGGCCGGCGCCCGGCTGTCAGGCGTAAGCCTCATAATCCGGCCAGGGGCGATGAGCCCCGTCAGGGCCGTGTCCCTCCGGAGGAGTTCTCCTTCTGCGAAGCAGAAAGCAAATCCGCCTTCTGCCGCCGACCCCAGAAAACTCAGGGTTTTTGACGTTTCTATTTTTCCGCGCTTGTTGCTCACGATGGGTCAACATAGCCCAACATAGGCCCAAACTATAAACAGGGAAACGAAAACAAAACGGGCAACGAGGAACACACTAATAGTAAAGGACAGGTTGATGTTTTTCATGTGGATATGCAAAAAAAACGTCGTGGAACACATGGTCATGGAAGACGCACAAACTTGTGACCACCTTGCGGAAGTGTTCAGTGTGCCGAGGGTTGCGCCACGCGCTAGAGCGAGGGTCTTAGGGCGGACGCTTCTTTTGATTTGGAAGGTGGATGGAACTTTTTGAAGAGTGACCACCGCGCTAAGTGCATGAATTATTTGAAGACTCACACTCCCCTTGTTGTTGTTCTGAGCCCTCCTTGCACCATGTTCTCCAACTGGCAGAACATATCCTGGCAGAGAGGAAATCAGGAAGGGAAGAAAAGGAAACTTGTGGAAGCCAGGTGAATTTGCCATTCAAATTTGTAATGAGCAACGGAAAGCCTCACGCTACTTCATTTTGGAGCAGCCTCTGAGTGCAACGAGCTGGGAAGTTCCCTCATTTCAATTGAGGGAACTGCGACAGCGAGACTCATCCATGTTTGTTCACCTGGACCAATGTATGTATCACTTGAAGGACCCACAGAATCACTTGAGGTACAAGAAACCCACTGGTCTTCCCACGAACATTATATAAAGACATGTGTTCTTTGGGAGTGACTTGTGACGGAAATCACAATCATCAAAGGGTTGAGGGGAGAACCAGGGTTGGGAGTGGCTGGGTTCGTCGTTCGGTGTGCGCTCAAGTGTACCCCAGGAAATTAAATTGATGGATGGGATTGTTCGTGGAGTGACTCAACTGAGAACTCGCCTGGAAAAGGAACAGCTTGAGTGTTTTGTTTCTAGGGATGTGGACTTTGAGAAGCCTAGAATGATGGGCATGATCCGCAGAGCACACGTGAATCTTGGACACCCGTCTCGAGAGAGATTCATCTAATATGCTTCGAAGTGCTGGAGCAAAGGAGTTGGCAATTGAGTGCGCCAAGGAACTGAGGTGTAGTACATGTTGCAGCAAGCGATTGCAAGAGGTTCCGAAAGTCGCAAAGCATAGGAGAGCTGAAGGCTGAAGAGTTTAATCAGCAAGTGAATCTTGATACTTTTGAGCTTCCGATTTATCAACAAAAAGTTGTTAAAATGCTGAACTGTTTTGATGAAGGTACTGGTTTGCAACTTTGTTTTCCCTTGTGGTCGGGTGCAACGGCTCAAGAAGTCAGAAAAAAGTACAGAAAGTACTGGAAGCGTTGGGCGGGAAATCCGCGATGCATCCTGACTGATGGTGGCACTGAGTTTGACGGTGCCATGCAGGATGGTCTAGATCACTACAATGTGCGTGTAGAGAAAATAGGTGCGCATGCGCCATAGCAGAATGGTGCGTGGGAGCGTGAGGAGGCCCAACATTTTTGCCAAGGCATTCGAGGAGGCCCAACCAAGGAACAAACCAGAGGTCGATGAACTCATCGACCAGGTCGGCGAAGAACTCCATGGCACGAAAGCATGGGTTTGCGCCATATCAACATGTTTTTGGTTCAGATCTCAGAGTGCCAGGTCTCATCAGCGAAGCTGAAGAACAAATACCTTACAACACTGAGATTTTGCATGATGTCGATCGCTTCAGGAGAAGTCATGAACTGCGCGGCGCAGCAAGACGAGCCATGGTCACTGTAGACGACGATCAGAAAGTCAGAAAAGCAATGGACCATCGAGCACGTCCTCTACGAGGGCCATATCGGATCGGTCAGCTTGTCTACTACTGGCGCAGGCTTCCAAGTGAAAAAAAGGGTGGCTCTTGGAAAGGACCATCTACAGTGACTGGCTTCTACGACAACTCCAGAATCTGGATATCACATGGCAACAAAGTGCTGAGATGTGCCCCGGAGCAGCTGTGAGCATCGACAGAAGACCAAGAGGCAGCGATCAAGTTCCTCCCACCGGAAGTCCTCAGCGAGAGGCAGAGGAACGCAAAGAGCGGTGCGCATACGTTCACAGATATTAATTTCTCAGGCTGAACGACCACAAGATAGCGAACAACCACCAATGGAGGACGAGGATGAGAAAGATGAGCCGTCGAGCAAAAGACAGCGTCTAGCAGATCTTGAGCAGCTGGACAGTCAAGACGCTGAATATACTCCGACGGAGCCACCAAATGTACCCCCAGTGTCAGACACATTAGACGAAGACCCTACAAGGCCGCCAAGCACTTCAAGTCCCGAGGAGAACAAGGAGTCAACAGAGGTGCGTGACGCACCAGAACCAACTACGTACGGACCTCTGAGAAACACACAGCGAATCCATGAACCAGGAGATCTGACTCAAGCTTTGAGAAGATCACTTGACCTTTTGGACACAGGTGCCAGTAACACCATGAGAGGCCCGTTTGGTAGAGATCGCAGTCCACAAGAACCAGATGATGAGGTGCTTGTCTGTGAGGACTCCGACCAGAACCAGATGTGTGACCATCACTTCGAGTCGTTCCTGGCGCAGAAAGTTGGAAATCAAGAGGTCAAGACTCAAAATATGTCAGATCTTGAGAAGTGGCAGGCTATCGAAGGAAGAGTTAAGGAGTGGAACAAGTTGCTGAAGGCTGGAGCAATTAGAGTGTACAGTGGAGATGAAGCAAGGAGAATCATTCAGGAATTTGGAGAAACAAGTGTGTTGGGATCGAGATTTGTGAATACCAGGAAGGAAGATCCCGACAACCCAGACAAGATAACGATGAAATGTCGCTGGGTCATCAAAGGATTTCAAGATCCAGACGTCGCCAGCCTACACTGCCAGAGTCCAACTCTTTCTGCTGACAGCTTAGCTGCCACTCTCCAGCTCATCGCAGCCACCAGTGGGAGCTAACGATAGCAAACATCGAAGGTGCGTTCCTTCAAGGATCTGGTTTCAAAAGAGAATCAGGTCGTCTCTTCGCTTCTCTGCCTAGTGGAAAAAATTGAAGGGGTTCCGGAAGGGTCGATTGTAGAGTTGACTAAGTGTGTGTACGGGTTAATGGACGCACCGAGACATTGGTGGACTTGTTTGTCCAAAACTCTTCGCGGCTTGGGACTCAAACAAATTATGCTGGATCCCTGCGTTTTCTTTTGGCATAGCGAAGGCAAGTTACAGGGGGGTTGTCGCTGTACATGTGGACGACTTAGTGTTGGGGGGCACTAGCAGTTTTCATGAAGTGTTGGGGAAGCTGAAGCAAACTTACCCGTTTAAACACTGGAAGACTCGTGGAGGTGAATGGTTCCATCATCATTTCTCAAAAGCAATACGCCCAAGAAGTTCCTGTTGCGAGCATCAGCAAAGAAAGAAGAAAATTGAAAGAAGAAAGACTTACTCACACTGAGTTGAAACAGTATAGATAGAGCAATCCTGGGCGCCGCCAACTGGATTGTTGGCAGCACGAGACCCTACATCGCTGCAGAGACAGCCTTTTTGCAGCAAAGAGTTGCCCACGCTACCATTGGGGATCTTATTGAAGCTAATAAGTTGGTTGCGCGGCGCGGATGAGGAACTTTGCTCATGTTAAAATTAGAATTAGAAGTATTCCTTTTGAAGACTCGGTCATTTTGGCGACTTCTGATGCTAGTTGGGGAAACACGGAACCCTTGGAAGCCAAGCTGGGTACATAATTCTTCTGGGTCATAAGAATTTGTCGCAGGGTCAATGGGCTCAAATTTATCCACTTCGTTGGAAAAGTTTTAAATTAGAGCGCCAGACTAAATCAACATTAGGTGCGGAGTTCTTGTCTGCAGCTAGAGCGATAGCTGAAGGAAATTGGTTCAGATCGCTTTTTGCCGAAGCACTACACCCTGATTATCAGTTGGAGAGAGACTCCTTCTTTATATATAAATCAGATGGAGATGATTGTGGCTGTTGACAACAAGCCCATCTACGATCACTGCATCGGAGACGGTGTTGTCGTGAGAGATAAGAGAACGGCAATAGATATGTTGATTGTGAGGAGAGACCTGCGTGAAAGCAACACAAGCTTGAGATGGGTAGATTCTAGACAAATGATAGTTGACATGCTCACCAATCCTGAAGAGAGGTTAATATATTTTGGTTGAAGAAAATGCATGCTTAGAGTGGCGTAATGCAGAGAAGAGACGGCGGCAATAAGACCTTCAACATGAAGAGTCCGGGGTGTGTGAAAATCATACATCCATGTTGAAGGTACCGGATAGTCTCATCGCAGGCATGGGGCTTACTCTAGGAGAAAAGGCTAGCGCCGGAGCGACCACTGTGAATTCTTGAAACTCACAAATGAATACAAATGACCAATAGCCAATAGATGCCAATAGCACTGCCAATTTAACTTAAATTCAAACTGGCCTTTCGGAACTCCACCAGCAGTTCCTGTATTGGCGCCACAATTCCCTGCACGTACTCTTTGTACTCAACCTGCATTCAATCCATTTCCATCCAACATCCAGCACTTCCATTCTACTAAGTCTCAGACCCAATTCCCCCATAATACCCCACAATGTCCCACAGTGATAGTTGGACTTTGTCTCAACCGGGATGCCTGTTGGTCAAAAAAAACGGGCCGACTCAGCGCCTGCATGTCATCGATTAGCAAGGCCATGGTTCGGCTCCGATCACTTAGCTCGTAGGCACCTGCAAGGCTCAGCACTGGCAGCGATGTTATATATCCCAGAATGGTTTAGCATTCTCAAAGTCAAACACTGATGCGAAGCTGGGCACAAACATCAAACATTGATGTTGGAGATGTTGGAGCTTTTCTTGGCTGAGGCATCCCATGGCTTTCCCTAGTGAAAAAAATAAACGCTGGAACTGAAAGCTTTCATTATTTGGTGGTCCCCCCCACCTGCAGCTGCATGTAGTCAGAAAAGTTATTTGACTGCAGGCACATGGGGGTTACCTACCCTCAAGATGAAACAATTAACCTGAACTTAACTGACTGAGCATTTTTTGGGAGTCGAAAGAATATGCTAAGGTTGAGAGTATAGTTCATCTGCTTCATTTGGGTGAGGAGCCGAGGCACACCAAAAGTCTGTCAAGTATGGGAATTGCAAAGGGTTCCGCTGGCCCGTAGCAGAAATCCCATTCACCTAGGAAAACAAGCAACTATGATGACAGGCATCAGTCCAAGTGTCACTGACGATGCTTGAGCTAAGAATCAGAATTGATACCCGCCGCTGCCATCTGGTCAAAGTTTTGCTCACCCGCCTTTGCAATCTTTGGCAATGGTTGCTCGCCAGGCCCCAAATGGGCTTGGGCGAGGCTCAGGAGTGGCAAACTCCACCGAATGAAAACCATGGCAAAAGCGCGACCGCAACAAGCACGCCCACCTGACAGCTTTTGGCTGGAGCCAACTCTAAAACTCTTCTTCGTGACAGGCATGACGACTGCAATTTCCCCCTGCCAAACCTGATAACGCTGCCACATTCACTGCTTTCACGTAATACTCTACTTTGTTCGTTTTGCTTTGCTTTCTGTTTACCTCCTCGCTTTTGTGTGTCCGATTGTCTGATTCAGATTTGCATGCGCCGGGGGGGGTCTGCACCTGTGGCAATTGCTTAATTTCCCCTTCCTTCTATATAGGTTCCTTCAGCTACTACCAGTGTACAGTATACAATAGTTTCTAAGTCACTTGGGTCTTCATTGGTTATTCCCCTCCCCAATCCAGTGGGCATTCACACTCTTGGAGAGCGGCCCGCAGCTCAAGATGGAAGGCAAACAAGGTCAGCAAACCCATTCAAAAAAAATCTGCGTGTTGCCTTGTCCAGGACCTGCTTGTCTTGAGGAGCCTGCACTACACCCCCGAGTGAGCATAGGAACAGATTCCATCTATGGAAAAAAAAGTCCTGAATTCTGTGACGAATGAAGTAATCAGTTATCCATTTGTTGGCGTGTTTGGGTCACCAAGTTATTATGCAACTGGTGATTGCAGCAAAGGCCAGTGCTCTGCTTAGCGCTCTTGCTCAGGCTCCCCTGTGTGTTCTCTTCGGCCCCTGCGCCTCTTTGGAGCCAGTCTCAGCGGCATCCTTCTTTTCTGGCTTTTTCTCTTTAGAGGGATCCTCTCTAGAGGATTTCTCTTTCTTGGACACCGCTGCCGGTGGAACCGGTGGAGCCTGAAAGGATCTGCAAAATAGGTGGCCTTGCCATGTAATCTTGCCCACACCACCTCTTCTGGGCTTCTGTCTTGAATTCTTAAAGATCTCCGACACATGTTCACGTCGTTTGGTGTGTGTGTGTGTGTGGCGTTCTGAGGCCTCAAGGCCATTCTCCTCTTTGGGGCGCTTCTTTGGATCCTGGTTTCACTTCTGGACAATAGATGTCCAGCTGTATCTGAGCTTGGGGCCTTCTCAGACTTGCTCTTCTGTTTGGCCTCCTGGAGTGGAACATATATGTGGGGAGCAGCTTCAGCTAAACTTCAAGAATGGGATGTGCTGGAGATCCTCTTTAGAAGACGCTTTCTTTGGCACTTTCTCGGCCTCCAAACCATACCACAAGTTCCAAATCGTCGCATCAGTGCTGAGATTCAAAAAGGGTTTGGAGCCTTCTCAGCTCTGCTCTTCTGCTTGGTATCCTCATACACTCACTACTCCCAAACAAATGGATGTTTCTGGGCCAAAACATTGCAAACATTTGCAAACTGAAAGGGAAAAACATAACAGTTCCTGGTTCGAAGACAATTTCTTTGATGTCTTCTCTACCTGCAAGGCATCGGACCAACTCAGCAAGTCCAAACAAAACAAGGCCATATCATGTAGTTATGTAATGCAAAAATCACAAACACCATCAATCAAACATCTATCATATAAGTGGCAGTCAGGCCTTGGCTATCTATACCGCCCACCCTGTCGCCCCAAATCCAATTCGCCAATAACTGTGGGAAAGGCAAAGGGCCAAAATGGAGCATGGCAAACATTTTGTACAACAGCAGAGTTCTTCTGGACATGCAAGAACGTGCAAAAACTCTCTACATCTCATGGGAAAACTGCACGAAAGCTTGCGCCGGTGAAGCAGCCCAAACCAACAAAGAAGGCACCTTCGAGGCTGACCCTGCGGCTTCCTTCTTGGCAACCTGCACGTATGTGCCGGCTTCTCACAAGCCACACCTCTCATAAGATCTGCAAGCCTCTGCAGCTTCCTTCTTCTTCGATCCTTTGTTTTCGCTCATTTTATGACTTGTCGCTTGCTTGCTTTCCTTTGTTGCTCTTTTTTCCTGAATGGCAGAACGAGATCAAACCAGCAAAGGGATTGGATTTGCGCTGGCGTGGCCTCGCCCTTTGAGGCCGCGTGCTCCTGCCCAAGGTGTCGGTGACACGGCCGGCAGTAACTAGTCACTATAGTCAAATAAATTACAACACATATTTGTGAGGATTATGTAAACTGCAGCATGTACATGCAAACTCCCAACAAAATCCGAATCAGGCCACAGTTCACGGCTTGCATGCTGTTGTTCCAAAACCGTCCATGCACAACAAAACACTTAACCCTCTTGATTTTGTAGCTAGCAGTAGCTAGCTAGCCTCCTCTTGGGACGCGATCCTGTGGCTTTAATTCTCCAACTTTTCTCTTCGATCTCTCTCTCTCTCTCTCTCCCCCTGTCTCTATTTGCAGCCTTTCCGGAGATGTCAGATTTTGGCTCTTCCTTCACCTGACCAGCCTGAACGGAGAAAACCCCGACTACGGGTACAGCAACTTTGCTTGAAGCCAGTTGAGTGGGCCTTGTCCCGACTGCTCAAACAGTGCAGACTGATCCAGCTTCCAAAGACTCTGAGCACGCAACTTCAGCCGATGCTTCAAGCTTTCCTTCTTTCTCTCGCAGCCACTGCTTTAGAATCTCTATGTCCTTCTTTATGTCCTGCAGACTTTGTGGATGACTTTTGGCCGTCTGCATTCAAAAAGTATGCCATGCCGCACATGTTGCTCATCAACTGGACACACCAAGCTTATTTATACTTGGGTTTTTCAACCGGGAATCCAGTGCAAAATGCTTCTATAGTTCCAGCATCATGACCCTGGGCACGGATGTGATTCTTGGCATGGTACGTACGACCATCTCATGAGAGTGTTTGTGTGAGTTTCCTATGGAGACTTCAAGCCAAAGCAATAAACCAATAATGACATATAACAAAAAATAAATAAAAGTAATAACTATATAATATAAACAATAAGGACTACAATAGGGCCATAGGGCTTCGTTTCGCGTCTTGAAGTTCGCTGGACTGGATTCGTTTTACGTGTGACGCAGCATTCGTTGTAACGCCCGGCTCCTTCTGGCGATCAAGGTTTGCCTCCTGACTTACAAACGGCATCGAAAGGCTATGACTATTGCTCAATGACTATGCGCATTCGTTGAGTATATAGACAGGCGCAAGGAATCCACCTCTGCCAACTCGCGTTGACGCTCAGCCTCAGTTACGCTGCTAGCGTCAAACCATCGGCAAAGGCTAGGTACTGAGGCTCCAAGATGGACCAAGGACAGGCACCAAAACCTGAGGTATCTGCGAGCATCTCCTTCAAGTTGTCCAGAGCCACTTTGGCTTCCTCCTGCCGGGCCAAAGAATTGCCAACATGCACAGGGCACTAGAACGTGGCTACGTCTACGTGCAACTACAACAGCCTCTTTTTGCCATCATCGCATGGCTGCAAAATAGGCCCTCTTCGGGGCATCCTGTCGCCCGATGTCTTTAACAGCCGGCGGTGACGCATTGCAGTTCCCACTGGTCAGGTACGTGGGAGCTCAAATTCAGAAATTCTTTCAACATGCCGATGGAGAAGGCATGTTGAATCCCCCAAAACTATAGATAGGCCTCAAATTCGAGGCTCTGCTCTCAGCACGGACAGTAGGTCTTGGAGCTCTAGAACATCTTCCTCGACATGAGTCACCTGTCTCTCAGCAGCCAATGGCGCACACAGAACACAATGCATGCAGCCTGACACATGCTGTGCACACCTTGATTGGGCACGTCAACCAGCATGTGCGATGTGTAGCTAAAGGCTAGGGAAGTCGCTTTATCGCGCAAAAGCCGCTGCATCTTCAGCATCTGAAGTGTAGACACTGGAACTTCACGAAGGAATATATTCCTCATGTCATGGCTAACTGCTATTTCGCAATCATTCGCAAATCAGTGTCTGAAAGTCAAGACGTGAACAATGAACATGCGCTTCATCTTGAAGCAGCATAGTACACAACTACACTCCGGACTTGATCCAAGAAACAAAAGGCCTTCTATAAATTCAGAACCTTGGATTCTAGCAGCACTCAAGCAGGACTGTTGGATGATCAGCAATGGAAATCTTTATAGCGTTGCGTAGCTGCGTTTCATTGCCGACACTTGCAGCAGCACCAGCTACCCACACCGCACATCAACACACATCACTATACCGTCTTCAATCGTCTTCATCTGTCTTTGTTTGCTTGTAGGACGCCACCGCCGAATGCCGACATTCGGGACCAAGGAGCGATTAATCTTTCCTGAACCATCCACATCCAAGGTGTTGAACAAGTCGGCCATACCTTGGCTCACCAAGATGCAGCCGGACCCAGTCAAATGGGCAGAAAGGGTCTCTGCCAAGGCGGCCAAGCCACTGTCCACTGAGGCTCTGTCTAGGAGATGAGATGGTACCAAACCATCCTCTTCAAATTTCACCATCCTGAGTCAATCAAACGGCTTGATGGCTCATCAAGTCAGAAGGCTTCGACATAAGGCGGAGAGCCGTTCTTTGCAACACTTGGGAGTCTGTTCTACAGTACTTTAGTCGCTTTAGTCTTCTGATGTTGCAGAAACGTTTCTCCGAATTTCATCCTTGACTGAGGGCTGATTTGGTTAAGGAAAGGACTCTGTCAAGTCAACTTCACCACTGCCGTCCTGGCGGTGCAAGTGCTCAGCGCGGCTTGAGACCCCATACATTCCCTAGTTCTTCAGGATTCGCTATAAATACAATACAACATAATACAACCATTGGTATACCTGCGCACTGTCATATCAATACGTTGATTCAATGTTGGTGGAACGTGGAGGAACAACAAGCAGCCGGGTGGGCAAACATTTGCCTTTTGATCCTTTTGAGGCACTGTGCAGTTGTGCGCTCTCCGTATTCTCCAGGAGCCACGAAGGCAACACGTTAATTGCATTTAATTGCGCAGCTTTGCCTACAAGCCATCCACCATCAAGCAGCATTGTACGGACTGTACGCACCATTACGGATTTCAAGTCCAGTGGTCGCATGTGATTCAACACTCGGTCCTCATCGATCAAGTCAAAAAGACTGATGATTTCGGGTACTAACTGCTTCGTTGTGGCTTGTTCCACCCTCGTCTCTTCCCTCAGCTGGCAATTCGCTGGTAAATGATAAGTTGCGTGATTATCCAATCACATCTAATCACTGAATACTTTGTACCTTGCAACTGGCTGCCTATAGAATGTTGCAAACTGGCACTGCAGCAGGGCCATGCAGCCAAGCGTCTCTTTCTCCTGTCGGGCATGTTCCAAAGCCCCTTCA